CATGAATAAGGCCGTGGTCGGCCTGAAGCCCAACTCCTCACACCGAAGTAAAAAGCCCACCATCAAGGAATAACTGTTCGGCGTCAGCAAGGCCGGAGGAAGCCCCACCATGTCCAGATACTCAATGACGAAAGGGTGAAGGGGGAACCTCAACCCCTTAGCAAAACTCATCGGGTATACTCCAAAGTATCCCGGTGGCGGAAGTAGAACATGGTCCGTCGGCCTGGGTGCCCTAACCCGCCCGAACGGCCCCACGTACATCTGGGCGACAAGATAGTCGGCCGCACTGCTCTCCGGCTTGATCAGGAATATGTTGGTGAGGTCCAAGTAGGAGAGGCCCGGCCCATTCTTCGGCCTCCTCACCCTCTTCGGCTTAGCTGCGCCCTTCACGGCAGACACCGGCCTCGGGCACGGAACGGCAGCAGAAGTGGACGCCCCGTCCACCGCTCGGGACGCGCCTACGTCCTCACCCTCTGAAGAGGAGGCGGACTCCTCGTCCTCGCCTTCCTCGTCCATCAGCTCTCCGAATTTGTAGGGGCTCAAACGCTCTATCTCCTCTTCAAACTCCTCGAGCACCTCGTAGTCAAGCGACCTCGTGGAGGGCTGGTCGTCGTAGGGGTAGTAGTCCTCGTTCAAGCTCTTCATTACTACTACTATGGGCTTGAGGAGAGCAACTTAAGATCTAAAGGTGTTTAAACGCCTAACACTAGATCAACTACCTAGGAAGCAAAGTATGAAAAGCGAGGAAGATCGTGATGAACACTAACCTCGAACAACGAAGAACACGAAGAACAGGCTTGGGAGTTTATCTCTCTAGAAAATCGGCCAGCACTTCGACAAATTCAGAATGCAAATGTGATTCCTCGTCGGAGGGGAAGGGGTATTTATAGACCCCCCCCCCCACCAATGGTCACTACACGTGGCACTCTCCCAATGGCCACATCAACGGCCACCACTGGGAGGCCACCACGTCACCAACGGGCCAGGACCAACCCATATCAACGGCCCACCGGCAAATCAGACTCTACGGCCTACACACGCTCAGCGACTTTACAACTGCCAGCAAGCGCCCACAACGTCCCACTTGCTCACCAAGATCACCAATGCCAAACAATAAGAGGATGGCAACGGCCAGGAACGTAACGGCCACAGAACAAAGGGGACAAATAGCCCACAGCCTTCGGCTCCTTGTAATAACCCTTGATGATAACTCTCTACAAGCGATCTGCGCACAAGGGTTCTCCCACAGGGTTACCTTGGCCAGAAAATCGCCATGAGAGTGGGATTCAGGGGGACTACGGCGAGACCGCTTCGGCCAGGGACTCAAGCAACTCCTTCACCCCTCACACTCTTCGGCCTGAAGCAGTGGGGGACTGGGGGGACTACACCGGCCTCAACGAAACAAAGAGTATAAACAAGGTAACCACAAAACATGGCCACATCATCCACACAGCACAACGGAACTTCATCGGCCAAAGGCCCATAACGTCACTAGCAACGGCCAATAAGCCACTAGAGGCAAGGACACTCATCGTCCTCCGCCAACAATTAATCTTGACGGGCTCTTCGGCCAAAAACACGAAGGCCAACCAGCAACGGCCAAAAGGAGTGCGCAAACACCCTCATCGGCCACACAAAGGAAATGAGGCCATCGTCCTCAAATGTACAGCCCATTAGAGGCTTTGTATTCGGCCCAGTAGCGGTCCAGTTGTAAATGGGCCTCCCAAGCCCAAGGCTTGGGAGCCCAACCCTAATTTTCTCTATAAATACTCCCCTTGGGAGTAGTTATAGGGGTTACAAATTCATTCTATTGAAGCATATTATTGCACTTCTCTCTCTAGCTCTCACCTCTCTCTAGAATCTAGGAGATATACTCTATCAGAGAGCATTGTCCATTTCTGTTTGACTAAACACGTGGATTTCGGGGACGAAATCCCAAATAAGGGGGTTGAACTTGTAACACCGTCCCCAAATGTATTTACTTTTTAGTAAAGTATGTAATAATCCTTGAAAGATGATTTATGAATTTACGTGGTTGTAGATTTTTATTAATTCTTTTGCGTGAATAGTAAATTGCACGCGGGGACCACCCGATAATTTTGGGACCACATATTATATTTATTTTGGTCTAGATAATATTTATATGGTGGTAAATATTTTATTTGGGCCACAAAAAGGGCATAGAGTTGACCCGTTGGTCAAATAAGGCCCAATTACTGGTATTGGTAATTTATCAAATAACAGTCCGAAATGAGTTGCGGAGACTTCTAAATTAAAGTTGAGAAATATATATTTATTATAAGGTCCAGTAATGATGGAGAACATGTGTTATATTTTATTTGACCCGATAAAATAAAATATAATTAAAATAGTCCGAGAAATACAACTTTCGGGACCGATTGTACGCATCGGGACATGAATGGATGACCTCCCACATAAGTGGAGTCCACCCCACGGTTTTAGGCTTGCAAATGGAAAGGAGGGCCGCACAATAAGTTGAGAAGGAAGCATGAGTTGATTGGAGGCCAAATAAATAAAAGAGATGGGACCCCTCCTATATTATGATTGTGAGAAATGCCAAAAAGGCATTCTCAATCAACAACCAAGCCCCTAGCTCGAATTGGGAATCATCCAAGGTGAGAGAAGATCTTCAAATCATCATCTTCTCCACCCATTTTCGCACCAAGAGCAAGGAAAGAAAAGGAGGAGGAAAAAGGGGTCATTAAGAAGGAAAAATCTAGGATAACAAGGTAACGACTTCACTAATCCTACTCTCTCTTTCTTAATCTTATCATATGATTGTGTAATCATATTTCATACCCATAGGATTGTCCTACCCATTGAGAAGTGTAGAATGAGGGGTTGGAAGGTTGGTTTCTAACCAAAACGGACTTGGAGAACAAAGTTGACCTGTTCGCTGGAAAATAACCTTTTAGAGGTTATTTGTGTTAATACGAGTTTTATGATGATGAAACCTTATTAGGAACTTGTCTAAGGTGTTCCTAGAGCTTTCACAGAGTTGAAAGAGTCACCGGAATAATCACCGGAGCTAGATAACTTCGTAAAGGCTTCACTAAGGTGAGAAGATGGCTTTATGCTTTAAAACTTTTGCGTGAGGCATGAGATTACCTAAGGTAATCAAGAATATGTTTTATGGAATGATTAAAGATAACCAAGTAATTGTTTATGCCATGATTATATATAAAACATAGTTGAAAAGCATGTTATATATGTTTGGTGATTAAAAATGTGATAAATTATTATGTATGATGTTCCAGGGATCCAAAAAGGTATTTTTGTATTAAGAACATTAAGAAATACATGTGTATAAAATTTCACATTAATCGGACTTCGTTTGGGCGGTCAAACAGGTGTTGATCGCCAAGTCAAAGGCTATACCCGACCGGGTATTAGTTAAAAACAGCCTCGGGGGCTACTGCCTCACCATACCCGACCGGGTATGGTTGGATACCCGACCGGGTATTGGGTAAAATACCCAATATGCAGTTTTTGAGTAAGTATAAGTGGGCCGTTCGGGTGGGACCCATCCACGTTGATTACTACGGATTTTTATATGACTATAGGGCTAGGTATTGTCCATAGTTGGAGGAATGAAAGGTTAGCCATATCTAGGTTAGGATTTGGTAGAAATATGGTTGGGTCGAGTACCCTTGGACGGTAAATGATCCAGAATACTCCAGGTTGGGGTCGAGTACCCTTGGACGGTAAATGATCCACAATACTCCAGGTTGGGGTTGAGTACCCTTGGACGGTAAATGATCCAGAATACTTCAGGTTGGGGTTGAGTACCCTTGGACGGTAAATGATCCTAAATACTCCAGGTTGGGTTGAGTGCTTTGGACGGTAAATGATCCTAAAACACTCGGTAGTATAGTACGGATGTAGAATATAGCTAGTGAGCTAGACATTCGGGACAAAGATGAGAAAGGTCGGGTAATTAAGGACTTTATCTCTAGAATACTCTTTTTAAGGTAAATGACCTACGAGTTATGTATTTTACAAGTATATATACAATATGTATCATCGGGTGAATGAGTTACAACTATATATGTAGCACCCTCTTTTTGGGTCTCGTGTCTGAAACATTAGTTATTCCTCATATAGCCTATTTGTCACTAGTACTTCTTTCTGTGAAGTACTGACCCCTCCGGGGGCCTCATTGTTTTTCAGGTTAAGGCTAAAGTCCTGCTACCTGCACCTTTGCATAAGGTGATTGTCAAATAAGGAAGACGTGGTTCGTGCTTCCCATTTCGATTTGAATTTATAATTATGCTCATGGGTATTTTAAACAATGTTCTATTAAAACATTTGGGGGCCTGCGTGCCCGTGTTTGCCACGTGTGGCTAAGTATCAAACATATTATTTCCGCATTTGTTTGGTTATGATATTGATGTTGATTGTATGTGTTTACTAATCGGTTTGGCAATAGAATCTATCGGACGTCTTGTATAATCCAATACAGACGAACTATTGTTGTTCTTATTGGGTTGTACGGCGGTTGTCTACGTGACACGGATGCGGTTCGGGGCGTGACAACTCATTTCACTCTCTTCTGCACAAGCTTCAACCACACAATTTTTATTATATTTATTTTTCACCTAATTCAAAGAATGCAAAGTCCATTGGGACGGAGGTAGTATGTGTTTTAATATCATCTAAGTTTAACACTACATACTCTGTATGATCTAATTTATTTAAGTATGTTATTGCCTAATTTTATATGGTCAAATTTGATTTTATCGCTTGATCTCATATAATTACAACCCTAACATTTTTAGAATTTCAAACATCTTTATTGTATTGGTTGATCGTATTGGGCTTATTGGCCAAAGAATTAAAATTTAAAAGTACTTTTCTATTTGAAGTAGAGATTACAACGGACCTATATTGCCGCACCCATTCCAAAGAAACGGTGCGTCAAATAAATGAATGCTTGGGAAAAACTGTTAAATAGACTTCATATTACTCTAAATATAACACCTCAATTCGCCTATCATATAATGAAAGAACAACAAAAGTAAGACCAACGGCTTATGAATGGACAAAAATAGGATTAAGTTTAAATTTGAACAAAAATGTGATCAATTGTATAGGAATGTACTTGAATACTCTCATATAAATACAACACAAAACTCTTATCTCCTCAAACTTTCCAAGTTTTGGTTTCGCTACATCTTCACAATTCGTCCACCTCAGACCTACAGCCTCCGTTGTGCCGCCGACTCTGCCTCAGCCGCCATTCATCACCTTTGTCGTCTCTTCCATCACAACATGTCCACCAATCGTCCCTCATCTCTATCATCGCCTTCTCTAACGTCTCGCCCAGCACACCTGCCTTGCATTGTGTTCACCTTCAAATAGGTACATCTCTTCTTCCTCATATTCTACTTCTCTTTTTCACTAGGACGGGCAGTGATCACTAGGCTGGAGGTGGTCATTGTGTCACTGGACAATGGTCACTACACAATGGAGTCGCTCGGGCATTGGCCTACAATTTCACACAACAAATAGTGTAGCCAACCAAAAATATGTCCATCCGGTCCTTAATTAACTTTACACTTTCCTTTTTGGGTTGTCCCATATTAAACTTTACACTTCCTTATTTGCTTTATTTGACAAACAAATCTGCATCAAACAGTGAAAACAGTGCAAAACAGTGTCAAACAATGTCAAACAATGTACTCTACAGTAAAGTCAAATTTATTTCCTTAATATGTGTGAAGTCAAAGTGTAAACTTCATTAAGGACTGGAGGGAGTATCTAACTGTACCATGCAAACGATACATCTAAATGATGAAATGAGTGATTTCCTAAAACAAAATGAGCTTTTTGCAAATATGTAATGATATTCAAGGATTGTATTGAATGAAAAGTGAACAGAAAAATATATATTCCCTCCGTGGCTCCGTCCCATAAAATTCTTCCAATTTTCTTTTTTGGGCCGTCCCAAAAAATTCTTCTCATTTACCATTTTTGGATAATTTGTGTGGCTCACATTCATTTCACCTTTTTCTTACACAACTACAACCATACATTTCCACTTTACTATGCGAGCCAAGTCAATGTGGGGAGAATTTTATGGGACGGAGGGAGTAATTATAAGAGAACAACCATTCTTTATTCTTTAGTTACAAAATGAGCAAATGTTACACAAAAAATTACAAAATTACTTTGGTGTAATTTTAAATACATGTGTATGGTATATTTTGCCATTATTACATAATTGATTCAATAAAAGAAGTCATCAAGGGTAGTCTTGTGGAAATTCTCCACCCATATTTCCCAAGCCACACACGTACCTTGCAAAGGGCACCAAGTCAACTTGGGCCTCATGCTGAATGTTTCATATATAATTTCTCGTGAACACCTTACTTCCAATAGCAGTATGTAGACCCCAATTCAATTAAACCTATTGTGAGCACTGAGCAGAATTGTGCATGTCAAAAAATGAGGAGATCCTTATCTTTGGGGTTCAAATTATTAACTCTACTCAATTCCTTTGTCCTGAACTAATATTCTGGTTTTGACTTGACCCAAGGGATATGGTATTGAAAATGAAACAATAATAACCACACATTTCTTTCTTAAAATGAAATAGGAAGATTATTTTGGGACTAATAAAAAGGAAATTAGAAGATTATTTTAGATTTTATCTCTGTCCCTAAATTATACTCCCTCCGTCCCTAAATAAAAGCATTTGTTTCATTTTCAGGTCGTCCCTAAATAAAAGTTCCCTTTCCTTTTTGGCAAACAAAACAGTGCAAAACAGTTTCCAAACAGTGTCCAAACAGTACCAACCAACCTCACTTTCTTAAAATGTGTGGAAAACGAATTGATACTTTTATATAGGGACGGAGGGAGTATACATAATTTCCCTTTTTAGTCCATCTCTTCACTTTAAGGAAAGCAATGTTTTGTTCACAATACCTCTCTTCTCTAAGCAAATCTCAATCACACGGTTTCCACTTTCTTAAACTTTGCACCCAGTCAAATTGAGCAATAATTTAGGAAGTGACAAGGGTGTTGCTTTTTGAGGAACTTTTTAGTCGTAGATACTTTTGTAAAGTGTATTTAAATACTCCTTCCCTTCCAGAGCTTTTAAAAGGCATATGTAAATAACGAAGAGCCAAATACCAACTAACTGATAATCCATACAAGTTTACAATGTATAATTTTCCAAACATGGACATAGAGCCATAGAGGCACTCATAATAAGCAAATAAACACATCTATGAACAAGGAAACGTATCCTAACTTAATCCACTTCAAGTTATCATGTAACATGAAAATGAATTTGCTAACATTGTTCTTTGCTTACTGCCAGGCCTTTTCACCGCAGGGTTGAGACTTTGGAAGTTAATAAGAAAATAAACATTTACCAGTTAAAGAACAAGGGCATCAAGATTCCACTTTCCGTCTGGACCCTTTGTGTACCACGATGACACATAGTCGCCATACATCACTTCCCGGTATTTCGGTGGATGAAATGCAGGGGAAACCTTTCTCGTCTTTGCGGGGTCATGGAATGTTGCGATTGAAAACCGGGGTCGTTCAGCATTTGTTACAGCACGGTGTATAGAACTTCTGTACTCTCCATTGGTTATGATCTGTAACGTCAAATGTGCGAGTCAACATTGTTCTCTAACAGTTGAGAAAGCAGCAACTTTAAAATTTTCATACAAATTCAGACTAAAAAGGAATTTATTAAAAACAATAGGGGTAGTGGGTTAAGTTTTCCAAATGTACCGAGTCATGCTTACTCAACATAAAATAACTCAACTACAGGGCTCCTTTCAAATTCTTGTGTAAATCGGAGATCACAATGGAAGCCCCGTAACCTGTAAGTTTTAGGAATAAAACTTCCTTGATTGAATGAGCCATTCAGCCAGAGTATAAATACAGTTTGTACAGATAACTACAAGCTGGTACAGATCCTAAAAATTAGGATCTAGATAACTATGAGCTTATCTACAACTAACTAAATCTATCCGACCCACTTATGTACATCAATCTAATCAGGAAAAATAATGTAACATTTTTCTAATAATGTAACATTTTTCTACACTCCCCCTCAAGTTGGTGAATATATATCATACATTCCCAACTTGCTTATAAGTAGCTCAAATATAGGTCTAAATAACCCTTTGGTGAAGATATCAGTTGTTTGATCTTTAGTGGATACAAATGGTGTGCAAATGATTCCAGCTTCAATCTTCTCCTTAATGAAATGTCTGTCCACTTCAATATGCTTAGTTCTATCATGTAGCACAGGGTTATGACCAATGCTTATAACAGCTTTATTATCACAATATAACTTCATAGGCAGCTCAATCTCCATCTTTAGTTCTGTGATTACTCGTTTGATCCAGAGTAACTCACATATTCCATTAGCCATAGCTCTGAATTCTGATTCTGCACTACTTCTAGCAACCACATTTTGTTTCTTACTTCTCCAGGTTACTAGATTTCCCCATACATAGGTGCATTATCCAGAAGTAGATCTCCTATCAGATATTGAGCCAGCATAATCTGCATCAGTAAAAGCTTCAATTGTCCTATTGTTTCCCTTTTTGAAAAACAATCCTTTCCCTGGACAGCTCTTCAGGTATCTCAGAATCCTGTAAGTAGCATCAAGATGTTCTTGGAGAGGATGATGCATAAACTGACTTACCATGCTTACTGCAAATGCAATATCTGGTCTTGTGTGTGCCAGATATATTAATTTTCCTACCAATCTTTGATATTGGTGAATATCAACTGGATTTCCCTCCTTGATATCTCCCAATTTCTGACTTGGGTCAATTGGAGTGTCTGCTGGTTTGCAGGCACTCATTCCAGTTTCCTGTAGAAGATCTAAAACATATTTCCTTTGTGAGACAACAATACCCTTCTTTGATCTAGCTATCTCCATTCCTAGGAATTTTTTTAAATTTCCTAGGTCTTTAATCTCAAATTCATGAGCAAGTTTGTCTTTCAATCTTTTAGTCTCTGTGTGATAATTTCCTGTGAGGATAATATCATCTACATAGACAATTAAGATTGCAATCTCCCCCTTACCTGAAAACTTCATGAATAAAGTATGGTCAGCTTGAGCTTGATTAAATCCTTGCTTCTTTATGAACTTTGTGAATCTGTCAAACCAGACTCTTGGAGACTGTTTAAGTCCATATAAAGCCTTCTCTAATCTGCAAACTTTTAACCCAAACTTATTTTCAAACCCAGGAGGAGGTTCCATGTACACTTCTTCTTCAAGTTTCCCATTTAAAAAAGCATTCTTTACATCCAGTTGTTGTAATGGCCAGTCTAAATTGGCAGCAAGAGATAAAAGAATTCTTACAGTGTTCAACTTTGCAACTGGTGCAAAAGTTTCTTTGTAATCAATTTCATAGGTCTGTGTGTACCCCTTGGCAACTAGTCTTGCCTTATACCTCTCCAAACTTCCATCTGCCTTAAACTTGAGGGTGGAAATCCACCTGCAACCAACTGTAGGTTTATTTTTAGGTAACTCTTCAATCTTCCATGTCTGATTCTTTTCAAGAGCCTCCATCTCCTCCAAAACAACTTTCTTCCACTCAGGTTTAGATAGAGCATCATGTATGGTTGGAGGAATAGAAATAGAAGAGATATTGGAGGTAAAGGCTGCAAAGTCTGATGTCAATTTAGAATAAGAAACATAGTTTGAGATGGGGTATTTAACACATGTTCTTCTCTCTTTTCTGAGAGCAATAGGAAGGTCAAAGTTGCTAGAAGTATTACCTTTTTCACTTCCTGACATTGAGGCAGAATCATGGACAGTTGTAGGTTCTTGGACTTCCTCTATTCTTTGATTTCTAACCCTTCTCTCATAAGTTTTTTCAAAGAACTGACTTGTCTGTTGATCCTTTTCAATTGGTTCAGTTGGATTTACTTCATTATTTTTTATTCCTTGATCATTTTCAGGTGTACTGATATTTCTAAAGAAATTATCATCCAAATTAATATCAAGAAAATTAAGATTTTCATGAATATGTGGCATTATGGGAACATCTTCACTTAATTTCTCCCCCTGAAGATGAGAATCAAAAAAAGGTTGTTCTTCCATAAAAAAAATATCAATAGTAACAACCATTGTTTTGGTCGTAGGATCAAAACATTTATACCCTTTTTTAGTGGCAGAAACACCTAGAAAAACACATTTTTTTCCTCTAGGATCAAACTTACTTGCAGATCTATCTGGATTTTTGATAAACACTGTGCAACCAAAAAATTTTAAAGGAAGGGTGTTTACCAATCTATTTGTAGGAAAGAAGTGTTGTAGTGAACTAATAGGACTTTTAAATCCTAAAGTTTTAGATGGCATGCGATTAATTAAATAAGTTGCATGTAACACTGCTTCTCCCCACAAATATTTTGGTATGTTTGTTGAAAACATGATTGCACGAGTGACTTCAAGCAAATGTCTATTTTTCCTTTCTGCAATTCCATTTTGAGCTGGTGTATTGACACAAGAGCTTTGATGAATAATGCCTTTTTCAGTAAAAAAGTTGTTTAAAGTTTGAGAAAAATATTCACGGCCATTATCACTTCTTACCATTTTAATTTTGGTATTGAATTGAGTTTGGACCATAGCATAAAATGTTCTAAATATTTTCTCAACTTCAGATTTTTCTTTGATTAAAAATACCCATGTGACACGAGTATGATCATCAATAATAGTTACAAACCATCTCTTTCCCTTTAAAGTTGGTATTCTAGATGGACCCCAAATGTCACTATGTACCAAGGTAAAAGGGCTAGTAGGTTTATAACTGTGGGGTAAATAAGTGTTTCTGTGATGTTTTGCAAGTGCACACATATCACAATTAAACAAAGAAGCATCTTTATTCAGAAATAATTGAGGAAACATCTTTTTTAAATAATAGAAACTAGGATGTCCTAGTCTATAATGAAGTAAATACAACTCTTTATTATTTGAAAAAGAAACAGTTTGCAAACAAGCATTTCTTGGACCTCTTTTATTAGATTGAGTTTCTCCATCAAAGATATAGAGTCCATCCTCCTCCTTAGCACTGCCAATCATCTTCCCCGATGTCAGGTCCTGAAAAATGCAATAAGAAGGATAAAAAATGACACAACATTGTAGATCTTTAGTTATTTTACTAACTGAAGTAAGATTGCAGGATAGATTAGGGACATGAAGGACTTTGGATAGATTCAGTGATGAGGAAATACTAATATTTCCCATCCCTGCAATGGCTGATAGAGAACCATCTGCAACCTTAACCTTTTTATCTCCTGCACTAGGTATATATGAAGAAAAAAGATTTGAAATAGAAGTCATGTGATCAGTAGCCCCTGAGTCAATAATCCAGGTATTTTTAGATTTCCCAGAACAAAAAAATGATGAATAGGTACCATTTTGGGCATAAGAACAAGAGGAAGATTCTGGGTTGGATTCTTTCTGGGAATTTTGGGTTTTCTGGGAATTAAGGAAGTTAAGAAGTTGCCCTATCTGCTCCTGAGTGAATGAAAGCTGATTGAACTTGACTTGTGGTTCTTGTTGAGTCTCAGTCACAGTTGTTTGTAGGGCCTTCTCAGTTTTTTTCTTTCCCGGTGGTTTGCCATGAATTTTCCAACAAGTCTCCCTAGTGTGCCATAATTTCTTGCAATGATCACACCAGGGTTTTTTCTTGTCATCACTCCTAGCCACCATTGCTGAAGAGTCCCCAGATTCCTCATTATGTACTGGAATGCTGTACATAACCTTCTTCCTGCTATCCTCCATCCTGATTTCAGAAAATACCTCCCTGATAGAGGGTAGAGGTTTTTTTCCAAGTATCCTCCCCTTAACTTCATCTAGATCTCTATTAATTTCTGCTAGGAACATGTAGACCCTATCATTTTCCTCCCTTTTTTTGTGTCTTGCTAGATCCTTGGGACTCTCCCACTTCTCATCATCATGGCACTGATCCAACTCTTGCCATAGGGATACCATCTCATTGTAGTAAGAGATGATATCTCTATTGCCTTGTTTGGACTGCCACAACTTTGTTTTTAATTCAAAAATCTGAGAAGAGTTCTCAAGATCTGAGTAAGTTTCCTTAATGGAATTCCATACCTCCTTTGCAGTTTTCATGAACATGTGAGGTTTGACAATTGATGCATCCATTGAACTTAGAAGCCATGTTGTCACCAAGGAATTTTCTGACCTCCAGACACTGTAGCCATCATCACCAGTTTTTTTCTCCTCTATTTCACCAGTTATGTACCCTAGCTTGCCCCTTCCATCAATAACCAGCTTGACAGACTGTGACCATTCGAGATAATTTGTGCCATTCAATCTATGGCCGGTAATGAGCATAGATGAATGAACTGAGGTCTGATAGTTTGTCATTGAGCTATTTGGGGAGTTAGGGTTATGGGTTTGTGAGTGGGGAGAAGAGTCAGATTGCTCGGTTTCCACCATTGTGGTGTTTAAACAACCTTCTCTGATACCATGTAAGTTTTAGGAATAAAACTTCCTTGATTGAATGAGCCATTCGGCCAGAGTATAAATACAGTTTGTACAGATAACTACAAGCTGGTACAGATCCTAAAAATTAGGATCTAGATAACTATGAGCTTATCT